TTGTGCTAGGAGAGAGAATAGACACGACTCTCCCTCTCCCTGATCTACTGTTTAAAATACGTCAGTCATTTGAAGTTTTTGGGTTGAGTCGGATAGGATTAGACCCAATCAAATCTAACCGTGACTTCGAGTTTAGGTGTCGTATTGTTATCTAAGAAGTATGAATTTCTTTTTTATTATTATTTTTATTTATAATGTTAAATGATGGGTTTTTCTCAATAAGAAATGGTAATAAATAAATAAATAAATAAATATTAATTGGAATGAGATTAGTGTAAAATTGTGGTTTTTGAAATGTGAAAGCATAAAATATTATAAAGAATTATATAATTATTTTAATTTTCTACTGATTAAAAATTAATAATAAATAAATAAATAATATACGATCCCAGACCTTGCATATTTTACATTCCTTTTTTGATGAGACGGTTTTTTTTTTTAATAAAATGAAAAAATATTTTAGGGTTTCAATTTTGCTTTTTGTTTTTTAATTAAAAAAAATATTTATTTATCATTTATTATTTATTAGGTCGAGAATGCTAGCGAAATTCTAGATTAGCTAGATAAGAAGAATATCACGAGTATATAAGCGATGATAACTATTTTTAATGAATACGACTAATCCCTAAAAAGACATGAAGGGTCGTTACTTGTTGTCTCTAATAATTGTAAACTCGAATTCATACACATGTCCCTGACTTAGTCATTCGATGAAATCTTCAGGTACCGAACAAGGAAGTCATGAAGCTCGAAAGATGTAGTCATGGTGTGATCTGTGGTAGAACCCTATCAGAAATAAATGGTTTGGTTCAATTGTAGTTTTGCTGACATAAAGAGAGTTTTGAACCCCAAATCAAACGGAAAAAATGAAAGTTTAGCTCGTAACTTAATTGTCGAGACAACTATAACAACTCTTTCTAAAGGTCCAAACGTTCAAATCTCGATCTCACTATAAAAGCAAAATTTTCTAAATTCGGGACCTAATTCTATCTCGAGTATACTCCTAGCTATATGCATGCATGAAAAGTAGGTTACCCTTTTAACGGGGGAGGCGTATAAGAAGTATGGAACTCAAAAGCAACCCTTTCCCAAAAAAAATGGCTCTTGGCCTAAGTCTTGAGCCACTCTATTTTATTTTTTATATTTTAAAAATTAAATAAAATACTCAAAAAAATATTCCCCAACTATAAATTTAAATTGACGATCACCCACTTATAAGAGATTCCAAAAGGTAAATAAATAAATAAAATAAAATAAAATAAAATAAAATAAAAAAATAAAAGTGAAGAAGCCTTTCAAAGGATGCCATTTTATTATATAGTTTTTATTTAAGACTATATTTGTATGATATATTGATATCATCAACCTATCCTTAACAATAATATATTTTTCCTTTTAAAAAACATTAGGTTATATTACAACATGTGGTTTTTGGTGAAATTATTAACAAAATTAAGTGTATTTTTCGGGCCTAGTTCTTTTCAAGTAACCAGCTCCCTCCTGTTGTCGGGTCCCTCTTGAACTATGAATACTCGAAGATGTCCCGAACTCTTTCAGTTGAAAATCAAATAATTAATCATATGTCACATTTAAACCGAATGATTGACTATTTATTTTATATTCATTAGTTCGTTTTAAAAAATAATATATATATATATATATATATATATATATATATATATAAATAAATAAAATAAGTCCATAAATTTTGATAATTATATAAAATTTTAAAAATACTAAATAAATCTAAAATCAATGAAATTAATAAACAAAATATTAAATATTACTAAAATACTAAAAATTTAAAGATTTATTAAAATGAAACATTTTTTAAAAAATACGTTGAATACAAATTTGAAAAATTAAAGGACTAAATTTATAATTTAACTAAATTATTGAGACTCATAATAAACTTGGTCCAAAATTTTTACAAATTAGGAAAAAAAAATTTATAAATTAGGTCTAGATTCATAACACATTCCTTTTGCTTTGAAATTTAAATTTTTATAAAATATTAAAGTTAAATAAAAATGAACAAAGGAAAATATATACTCAATAATAAAATTAAAATAAAATGTGGGCTGAAAATGAAATTAAATTTGTAATTATTATTTTTAAGTTACAATAAATTTGAATTCATTAATGACAATTTTTAATAAAAATTTAATATTAAAATTACTAATAGTAGAGGGATTAAATTATTAAAAAAAAAAAAGATATAAATGAGAAAATATTTATTTAAAAAAGAAAAAAAAATTGAGATAATGTTGGGAACCTCAAAATAAATAAAATAAATATTACAGAATCTTTCACAGCTTCAATTCTCTGCTTTTTTTTTTTTTCTTTTTCATGTACGGCTACTTTTTATGGTTTGTCTTTCACTCTCTCTCTCTCATTGAACATATAAGAGATTTGAAAGCGAAATGAGAGACTTAGGACTTACCTCACTTCTCCTTCATTTTCCTTTCTTTAATTCCAAAAAGATAAATTCTACTTTTTCTTGACTAAATCTCTAGAGATCGAGTTTCGTTTCAATAACCAACCTAAACCTACCTTATTATTTAAAAAAGGTAAGAAAAACGTCCGAAGAATTAGGTACACGAAGGATGAATAGAACCCTAAAATCTAAAAATTATATTTTTTTAAATGGACTGAAACAAAACCCTAAAACTAAAAGATATATTCTTGAAGTGAACGGAAACACCCGTTAAAATATCAACAAAACCTTAAAACTAAAAATTATATTTTTTTAAGAAACGGAAATAATAATTAAGATATTAACAAACACTTTGAAACTAAAAATTATATTTTTCAAAGAAACGGAAACATTAATTAAGATATTACTAAAACCCAACTAAAAGTTATATGGTTCGAAAATCCAAAAACCTAATCTATATATATACACACACGCGTGTACACGTTCATACACAATAAATATATATACATATATGTACACGTTTATGTTCATGCACAATACAAGATTCGTCTGATTAATAAGCAAAAACTTTATTTATAATATATATATATAAAAATAAAACTTTAAAATTAAAGGTTATATTGTAAATGAGGCTGATAAATAAATAGAATCCTAAAATTAAAAATTATGTTATTCGATAAACGGAAAAATTAATTTATATATATATACTAAAGAAACGTTGATATAATCGAAAAATTATAGTATAAAAATTTAAACTTCGAACATTTTGATAAGAGCGAGAAAAATTATTAAAAACTTGGAGTAAAAATTTAGGGAAATTTGTAAGAATGGTTAGGAATTGAAGGGTCTGGAGAATTCTGATGGGGCAAAAGAAAGAAAGAAAAAGGAAGCAGGAGCTTGTTCTTCAATTTCTTTGTTTTTGATTTGGATGCGAATCCAAAAAAATAAAAATAAAAATAAAAACGCATATTTTTCATATGGATAAATCCAAATACTTTCTCCAGCTCAATAGATGCCTCCAAGATAGCTACACCACCAAAATCCTCTCTCTATATAAATATTGTTATTTATTTTTTAAAATAAATAAATAATTGTTTTTAATAATAATTATTATTATATTATTATTATTTTGGGTGTGGATGTTTAATTTGGCAAATCCAAATCCTAAACCTAGGAAGGGAATTCTCAAATCTAATAAAGCTGGATTTCATTCTAAAGAATATATATATTAAAGAAAAAAGGAACAAACCCGAGTCATTTTTTTTAATAAGAATAAGTTTTTCTCATAAACCCGAGTCATTTTTTTTGAGTAAGAACAACTAATCAAATTAGAAACAGAGCTATCGTCATCAAATTTATACATCGCTTAGTTGAGCTTATAATAATACCTTGAACAATTGAGTTGAGTATTTACATTCAAATTGGCTTATGCACTGTATTATTATGGGTTAAATGGTAAGTTTGGTCCCTAACTTAAGCAGTTATCTTTCTTGTACACAAACTTTGGAAAGTAGTTATTAGGCGTTAAAATATCTATTACCCGTAGTTCAACGTTTGTAGTTTTTGTCTAATAAATCTTTTACCTATTCTAACCTTTTAAAATTCATTTTCCTACCTAACATAAAATTGAAAAGTTAGGTTGTTACTAAACATTTCAATTTCATTTATAGACTCTTAATTTTCTTTTTTTTATTAGAGGTAAATCGAAAGTTTAGAGATTTTTTAGACTTTTTTAATATTCAAATATTAAATTTTTTAATAATTAATTTAGATAGATTAAGAAAAAAGAAAATCCTCTTTAATTATATATATTGAAAATTTATAAACTTTAAAGTATAAATTTTTGAATTTCAAGTTTTTGTCTAATAAATCTTTGACCTATTCAACTTTTGGAAAGTTTAGTGTAGCGTAAGCTCACTGATAGCAAATATTATTATTTTTGTGTTTAGCTTAGTCTAAGCTTACTTGGTAGCAACTTTTTTCTCTATCCTCTTTCGAATGTCCCCCCTCAAGCTTTTTTTAAAACACGGAAGTAGGATCGATATAAATTTCAATGTTATTTATAAAATTCCTTCATTTTTTTTATTAGACATAATTGAAAGTTCAGAGACTTTTTAGATGTTTTTAATATTCAAATACTAAATTTTCAATGATTTAACATTTTTTATTTAGATATAAGATTAAGAAAAAAGAAAATCCTCTTTAAATAAATAAATATATAGAGAGAGAGAGAGAATAAAAGGAATTGGACGGTGAAAAGATCGGAGAAAAAGGAAATGTGATCTGATTGTAAAAGGAATTTGGAAGCTCTCTATGTTGTGGAGAGTTTGTATGTGGAAACCGTACAAAGGACACGTCTCTGTTTGTTTTTTCACATAATATAATATAATATATATATATATATATATATATATATATATATATATGCAAAGATTCGAAGCTGTGCAAAATTTTTGCAATATCCCATTCAAAAGAGTGGCTTGGAAGTTTCCAGCTCCTTCAAATATCTCTACCAAACGAACATTCTCTGTTTCTCTCCCTCTCTCTCCTAACAAAATGGCTGTATAAATATCCCCTTTTGGAGCCTTCATTCCTCACTTCAATCCCAACCATTCCCCTTTCTGTGCTTCTGCTTTGCTTGCCATTCACTTCTAAGCTCTCATTAATGGAGACTGTCAACAAGTTGGTTTCAGACAGGCCAGTGGTTGTGTTCAGCAAGAACACTTGCTGTATGAGCCATTCTATCAAGACACTCTTGTGTGATTTCGGAGTTAACCCGACCGTCTACGAGCTCGATGAGCTTCCCAGAGGCAAAGAAATTGAGCAAGCCCTCCTCTGCATTGGCTGCAACCCCGCCGTGCCAGCCGTGTTCATTGGTGGTGAACTCGTTGGCGGCGCTAATGAAGTCATGAGCCTTCACCTTAAGAGGAACTTGATCCCAATGCTTAGGAGGGCTGGTGCTTTATGGGTTTAAACTTTGCTTTCCCCCACCCCGCCCCCTCTAACTATAACTTCTGACATACCTAAGCTCAGAGAGTTTACTTGAAAAGTCCTTATGTAAGTCCTTTTTTGGTGACTTCAATGTAATCTGATGTAATGTAATGTTTTGGTTTATCTAGTAATAAAGTTCATGAAGTATAAAAACTAACCCAAATCTTCCATCTGCAAAGAAATATTTGAAAGTTCATTAATAATGTAAAACTGAGTAGCTAATTCAGAAATACACAGAAGAATACATAGGCTTCTACCTGAATATAATCAATGATCTTGTGTACATAAGTTACACAAAAGACTGCTCTTCGTTTGCTACGAAAATACATACAGATTACAGTTTTCATAGTCATGAAATCATCATAGTATCGAAGTACCTCGTATGCAGCTACTCAATCGGAATGCAGTGGCTATGATTTCGCCAACTTTTGTTCGGTTGATCTCGACAATGTGAAACTGTATGAGTGATTGGGAGAGATTTGCATGAATGGTTGTGAAATCATGTTGCAGTTCTTTCAAATGATTCATCCGCACGTGTACAAGTTACTATTTACTCTTCATCATCAGAGGGTCGTTGTCTAAACCATTACTTGCAAATGTAAACATCGTGGATTGAATTGTTACTCATAAGAGTTCGGTTTCTTCTTGGTCTCCGTCGGCATCATCGACCTCATTGTCTTCGTCGTCTTCAGGTGCATCAGGATCCACTCCCTGCAATATTGATGTGTTTCAAAGGAAATGCATTTCAATGAGCTGTTCATGTTCTAATGCCTTTTTCCCCTAAAGGAAAATAATGTGCAGGGCCCTTTCCAGGACTAGACTATGCATGAACGAAGCGAAGCGAGGTACAACTTCTTGCTTTCAATCATCAATGAAAATGTCTCTTATCAAAAAAATAATAAAATAAAAAATTGAAAGCGTTTAGAACTTGTATATATCCTCAAATTTTTAAGCTGTGTTTTTCTACGCGTTCTAGACCTTCATTGATAAATAAAAGCAAACCTTCATTTGTTTTTCTAAGCGCTCAAGACCTTTCTTGGCAGCTTCGTTCTGGGGATTCATCCTGTACATGATTAATAAACCAAATAAATATGACATGAAAAAAGGCAATGGTCAGAAAATACCACTCCAGAAGCAAGAAAGCTGAAGAAAAATACACGAGAAAAGTTAATAAAACTAGAAAAGGACATAACAGAATAGTGTTGGGTTGAACTTGCAGAAGCTAGACTGTTTGAGAACTAAGTCTTATGTATCATAAGAGATCCCAAGTATTTGTTACGGTTCATTGGATTCTTGAGGAACTACTTTTTTAACACACAAGGATTATCAAGCGTGCAAGGGAAGAGGGAATGTGATAGAATAATGCTAGTTGGCGAGACGGCCCAACTATGGGTGTGTGAGATCCCACATCGGTCGGGGAGGAGAACGAAACACATTCTTTATAAGGGTGTGGAAACCTCTCCCTAGCAGATGTGTTTTAAAAACCTTGAGGGAAAGCTCAAAGAGGACAATATCTGCTAGCGGTGGGTTTGGGCTGTTATAGGGTGAGACAACGGCGTTTAGCGAGGTTATTAGTCATACATAATCGTGTGTCTAATGTAGAAAGTTTCGGTTAATGGGTATGATTTTCCACTCTTAAAACAGGAGATTGCCAGTAGAATGGGGCGGGGGCGAGCAAACAGAAAGCATCGTGCATAACGTTTCACCTTAATGCAGCTTGATAGTGAGATAAAGCATCTTGCAGCATATTTGTGGCTGCAAACACTTGAGCTAGTTTTACGTGAAGAGAATCATCAGCCCAGTCCTTAAGGTACCTCTCCAGTAAGGATACAGCATCTCTGTTTCGACCTTCAATTACATGGAGCTCTGCCAAAGCTAATGCCGACCCGAGGTAACCAGGTTCCAGCCTAAGGGCTGACTCATAAAACTTCTTGGCCTATCAAAAATTCCATGCCAGATCCACATATGAAATATATTTGCTAATAGCAGTCTCAAAGTCTGAATTACTACAAAACAAATCTTTAAGTCATGTACCTTCTCTCTACCACCTGAGTTACTAGCATGTACATCTCCAACTAATTTTAGAGCCTTTGCAGATTGAGGCATCGCTTTCATTGCCTCCCGAGCAGCATATAATGCCTCTTTTATTTTAGACAGAGCTAGATGAGAATGGACCAAGCCTGCAACCAAAAGTGAATTCACAACCATTTGGAAGTTGAGCATTTTAGGCAACGAAATACATTTATTGACAGTTTGATTGCATTCACGAATACACAAAAACCAAAATAAAATGAAGGTAACATTGAGAGCGGTATGATAATTGTATAAAATTTTCCGCTTAAAAGTTACACCTTGATATGAACGAATATCGGGTCTCAATTCTTGCGCATTCCTGAATGCACTAACGGCTGCATCTGGCTGCTTCAATGCTAATAACAGGTTTCCCTGAAAGTAGAAACAAGAAATTTGAGGTGATTGATATTCTGGTGGTCATTCTATTCAGGTCTCTTTGCAAACGTATATTTAATAAGTACCTTCATGATGAAACCTGTTATATGCCTTTCATCAATTCGGATGCTCTGATTATTAGCAGTATGAATGTTAGAACATATAGAAAAGAAAATAAATCCCAAAGCTCAGTTTTGATAACAAACCTTCTCAGCATAAGACAGGGCTCCCCTCTCATCTTTTGTTTCCCACAATACAGACAAAGTCACAAAAACTTCTGGTCTTGTAGAATCAATATTTAACAAGTCATAGACTAACTTGTTTAGCATTGAATAATCAGACTTCATCTTCAGAAGCATTGCATATTCATCCATATATGTTACAAGATATGGATCAATTGATCGTGCCTGTAATAACATTAAATTAAATGTCACTGGGGGATAAAGTAGATCATTATCATAATTATGCTGCCGTTTCACGTTACCTTTTCAAAATTCATGATAGCCTCGTCGTTTTTTCCCATGATGGCTTCAACCTGGACACAGAGTTGTCAACATGTTAGTGAGGAGGAAAGGTCCAAAGAGTTTCTTTTTTATGCTTACAGAACATTCAATATCATCAAATAAAGTATGTACTTAATTACAAACTTAGTCCTTCAAATTTGTATCAATTTGATCAATTTGATCTCTGAACTTATAATTTAACCAAAAAGCATATTGAACATTCAATGAGTGAAAAGAGGAAAACAGGAAGTATTTTTGCAAAAACATATTATTGTCATGAAGGGGCATCATACAGCAAAACAGATAGGAGAAAACTTGAAAGAGAGCACACACATAAAGGTGATGTAATGCCCACTGCCAAAACAATTATGGATATTCTTCTCCCTCAGCTACAAGCAACATAAGCGAGCTCCACTTGAATACAGAGAGAAGTGAGAAACTTCATCCAGTTTCAACATTCCGTTTCACTAGGAGCCACAAATATGCTTGAGGAGAAAGGGTTGCCCAAGATTAAACATTCATAATCTTAGATTTGTTATCACAAGAACCCACCTTTGCAATTTCAAGTAACAGGTGAATATTATTGGGAAAACGTTGCAATAAATCCAAAAACAGCTCCAAACCACCTGCAAAGGTTATTTAAAAAAGTAATAATAAATAAATATAGAGAGAAATGAGAAAGCTAGCTGATGTCTGAACTCATATGAACCAAATTTTATATCATTTGCATAAGAGGAGGATGAATATTATCAAGTGCTTACAGGATAAAGTGACATAAACTATGCATAGCTTTGATAGTTCGAACAGGAAGACAGTATTTTACCTTTGTAATCATTTGACGCGATGCAGCACTGGGCCTCAACATAGCGCTGCAGATAATTTCAAAACAACATAAGCACTTTTTTTAAAAAATAATAATAAGAAAACACTAATGAATTTTTAAAATATAACGGGAAAATAAAGACATGTAAAACAATTTAAACTAATTCTGAACTTGCCCATGATCTACAGAAGATCGCACAATTTGTTGGTGCATGCAAAATCAGAGCAAATACAAATACTTGGTTGACGACTATTTAAACAACCAACTACTCATTCGGAAATTGCCCGTGATCAAATACTAGGCAGTACTTATCCATTACATTTCTTTAAAATGACTGGTAAAATAACAAGCATAGAATACACCAGGTTTCGAGTTTGGAAGCATGTTATATCAATTAATGTGAATCCCATTGCCCTATTCTTGGCTGGCAAACAATGGGTAGTAATAATTGGACACTTCATCCTTCTCTTTGTTGAATGGAAGTTTGTTTCAAAACTCAAATACATGTGCAGCTTAAAAGCCTACTAACATCAAAGCTATTTGATAAGGCAACATGAGCATAGATCAGTAGTAAAGGTATCTGCATCATCCCTCAAGGTTGGTGATTTAAATCCTGACACCCCGTGTATAACTCAAAAAAAAAAAAAGGAAACAGCTATCTATAATTAAGCAAATGAGAAAGGGCTCGTCATTTCACAATTAAACCAAATCGTAAAGTATGAAAAGTGGAAGCTTGTTAGCTGCTTATCTCTTCCAACACTTACTGGCAGCCAGCGATTTGAGTCAAAGTGATCAAAAGGAGTTTTGCCACTTCTGTTTGATGTCTGAAATAAAATTCAAAAGAAACCAGAAGGAGAGTATTGTAAAATGATGTTAAATTTTCTACAAACAAAAATTACCATAAAACAAAACCAGCATAGATGCAAATGATCTTCATGCTAACTGATAAACTGAGAAATCTAATATTTTGGAGACAGCATAAGAATCTCTGTGGACACTGAATATGGTAATAGAAGTCAATACAAGGATTAAAAAAGAAGAAAGACGATAAGAGACTCAAAACCAAAAGACGGGACTGCCAGGTTTGACATCTCGTAAAACCTATTGTAAGCATAGTGGTCAGCAGCTTCTGAAACCTAACTGTAGAACTCGCATGCTAATAGAATTACAGGAATATCATATGACATTGAAAAACTTATACTACTGAAATTTTGAATAAAGATATAACTACAAATTAAAAATTACGTATCCCTACATTCAATTAGTGCTTTCTATCAATACATTCGAAAACCAACCTGAGGAAACAACGAAATGATGTCTTTGGCAGTAGCGCCAAGTTCTGCTAAAGCTATAATAGCTTCAAACACAAAAGGACAATTTCTGTAAAAAAAGAAATAAAAAAAAACAAGTATTAGAGCGTGAATCTGAATTATAGTTATGGGAGGGAGAAAGGATAATAATTTTAGTCAACAACCACATAATAAGTAAGCTGAAAAAATAACAGTCAGCGAAGTTGTTATGTCTGCAGTCACAAGTTTAATTGTCAATGGTGCAGGATCCGTAAAACAGTTAATACATGTAAGGTAAGAATTGAAAACCAAGTGTCCATGTACATATGAGCAACGGACAGCACAATTGCTTTCACTAACTAACCTTAAGCACTCCTTGTAACATGCAATAGCAGCACGGTTATGCCTCGCAAATCTATAAAGCTTTCCCATCAAAAGATTCATTTGTAAATTTCTTGCTTTACTTGGAATTCCCTCCATCTGCAAGGTATAACTGACAGAAGTTTAACATCAAGTAGAATATCTGTGCACGAGCGCGTGTGTGAGAGAGAGAGATAGACCTCTACAAGGGCAGCTCTGTTGTCACTTAATGCACAATAACACGACGCAATTTTAAACTTCACCTGTCGCAATAACGATATGAAGGCATAATATGAATCATGAAGGGAAAAGAAATCACCTAAAAGACTAAAAAGAACAATTTTGCAGCAAATAAGCTGATGAAGGGAAAATAAACAAAATATACATAATAAGTGAATATAAAGAACTGAGCAATATATTAGGAAACAGTTTCGTTCTACCTCATTTTCATTAACGGCCGATACATTAAATGAGTTTGGAGAAGAGGACCTGTTTGACTGCAAAGAACTTCTAATAGTAGCTGAATTTTGTTTAGGAATAATCTTATAGTATTGCAGGGCTTGCTTGTAAGTATGCTGTCAAGTTATACAAGAAAGTTACACCCCTAATATTATTGAAGATAATTTAGCATAAAACTAATCCTGGAGTAAGCAGCATCTAATCAACTCAGAGACTTACAATTGCTCTTCGATACTCCCTTTCTCGAAATAATGCATCCCCAAGAAGCACCTAGCAACGAAGAAACAGAGTAAAAAAAGGTCCAACTACAAGATGGATTAGAGTGCAGAAATTTCTTGCAAAAAACGATGCGATAAAAGATGAACAAAATCTTATGAAAACAGTACAATAGCAGTAAATGAATTCAGAACTACAAACCAAGCTCTCAGACTTGAGGTGAGGACTGGATTCAACATTAGCAGCAGGCGATGAAACAAGAAAGCAACCCTGAACAATATAAGAAAAATCACCGAAAAGATTTAGTCCGATCTCGAATCCGAATTTGAAGAAGGTGAATTTGCTTGTTCATGTGTTAAGAGTGAGTGAATATAACTGAAGAGAAAGCGATGAGAGAAACGAAAGCTTACCAGCATGTGAGCTGAACTGTAGAGCCCTAGGTCGAGAAGAGTGGAGATTTGATCCTTTGGAACCTCCATTTTTGTTTCAGCAGTTCTTAGTTCGGAAGATTGCTGAAAATTTTGAACCAAATGTGCTGTCACGGAAACCTCAACAGAACCCGCTCTCTTCTCCTCCCTCTCTTGCTGCAGAGGAAGAACGTATCTAGTGTGGGCCGAAATTATTATTTAAAAAGGCCCAAATACTTGGCCCAATAATCGGACGGAGGCCCAAATTCCTGGTCCAAAAATCGGCTATGCAGGCTGCTTTGGGCTCACAACAACAATCTCGGCTGGCCACTTTGAAAGTATCGGTCACTTAATACTCGGAATTTGTGCTAAAAATGAGCGATATTTTATATTTTAATATATTTTTAGTATTAAACTTTGAAAAACATTTTGTATTGATATAATTAACGACAAATATCATTTTTTTTAATTAATTGATACATTAAATATAAACTTATTAGAGAATTATGACATCAATAAACTACAATTTTAAACCACCCTGGCTATTAAATTGCATTGATACTTGATTTTCGAGATGTCAAATTGCATTCTTAGGCTTACCATGGATGGAATATTCCTTGATACTCTGACTTTCAAGGCACATTGCATTCTTAAGCTTACAATGAATGGAATGGAATATTCTCGGAGTTAGCATTTTACTAATAGTTAAGAAAGTCGAGGCTTTTCTCCCCTCAGTGCAGGCTTTACAACTCGAGAGAAGTAGCCTGCAGCAAATTTACACAGCCCCACTCAACATTCTTAACGAACAATCGAATAGAGAATCCAAAGACAAATTAGTCATTCAATCTTATAAACTAATCGAGATAGCAATTGGAAAAAGAGACAAACGAGGAGGCAGGAACATGAAACTCTAACTTCCATTTTTTATTTATTTAACGACTGGCTTTCATCACGGTCGCCCCCTAATTACCAAACAACCAGACATCAAATTAGTTTCAATCGAGATTTCCTTCACTTATAGGAACCGATATCAACGACAAGACAAGTCCTACGTTTAGTTACCAGCCGCCCTCTCAATATCGAGCCTTGACCCACCGAGTAGCCCTCGCCATGCAAGGTGCAAATATGGGATGCTAGGAGTCAATTGCCCTTGTTCTTTATAAATCTCCACATTACTAAAAGACTTCAAAGCCAAATAGAAAAACAAAAAACAAAAAAGGGAATATAAAAGTCAATAACATGCTAATAACAAAAAAGCACAGAATTAATAATTTTCCAAATCCCCTCCCCCAATTGGATTCACAATTTCCCTCTGCACAAAGCCTTCTTTTTTTTTTTTTTTTTTTTTTTTTTTTTTTTCTCTT